GCTTCTCGCGTTGGTTCTGCGCCGCCGCCTCCTCCAGCTGCAGCTGTAGCCGCCGGTTCTCCGCCTCCAGGTCCTTCAGCTGCGACTCGCGCAGACGCACCAGCTCCTCCAGGTAGCCCTGCGGGGCGCCGGGGAGCCCGGCCGGGGAGGGTGAGCCCGGCGGCGGAGAGGAGGGTCCCGGCACCGCCCGGCCCGCACCCCCCCACCCACCCAGCTGCCTGCCGCCCGCGCCGCGCACACCTTCTGCGCGTAGACGATGCGAAACTTCTGCTCCATCTTGTGCCACTTGCTGTACCAGCTGTCCTCGTCGGTGACGAGCGGCAGGTACGGGTGCTCGGGAGAGTTGTCCTCGCTGGTGCTGCTCTCGGCGCTGTGCCGCTCCTCCTCGTCGGTCAGGTAGTCGTAGCTGGCGGGAGGAGCAGGGGGCACCGCAGGCTCGCCCGCCCCTGCATCCCGCGCCGCCCCAGCCAGCCCCCTGCCCCCCTGCCCCCCTGCCCGTCCCTCCGCCCGGGATCTCCCGGACCCAGCGCAGCCATCCCGCGCCTCACCTCTGGGTGAACTTCAGGTAGGGCGTGTAGTCGATGACCACGGGGGTCTTCCCATCCAGCACTTCACCCTTCAGGCAGAAGCTGGGAACAGAACCCACGGGGTGGGTATGAGAGTTGGGGGGTGTGTACATTCGTGAGTGGGGACACCCCTCCACAGCCACCGCGCGGGCCCCGACACCGAGGCCCCACCTGAAGTCTATGGCGCTCAGCCCTATCAGCATCCCCGTGAGGACCGTGGCTTCCTCTCTCAGCATGATGGCTCCTGAGTCATAGAAACGCCTGTGGAGAGAGGCGGGGGTGGAGGGACTTAGGGTGCAGCACCCTCCCTGGAGCCCGCGTCCCTCGGGATCTCTCTGGTTGGTTTACCACAAACCTTTCTTAGAGGAAGGAGGTATCTGCTTCTGCTCATCCCTCAGGTGTGGGTCTTGTGTCTCCCCTCGAACTGGGGCCCCCTGGGAGTAGCACCTGTGTCTCCCACCTATTGGACCGTGTGTCCCCTGAGAATAGGCTCTCCTCTGTTTCCCACCAAGTACTGAGTCACCCCGGTCCTTAAAATCAGGAAACACACCATTCCCCACGGGCACATCTCGCCTGTGGTCCTGCCCGTGCCCCGGGGCCCAGTGCAGGGAATGAAGCTCCGCGAGCTGGGACGCTGCAGTCCCAACAGGCAGGGCTGCTGTAGGACACGGAACAAGGCCAACAAGTAAAACGATACATGGTTGAGACTTGTCCAGATGTGTGTCTGAAGGTAGAGATGTGTGAGTCTGGTGCTGGGTTGGGGATAATGAATTTTATTTGGAAGAGGTGATGATGGTGCCAAAGGTGTGTATCCTGACTGCAGACTAGGCTGACCTGTGGACAGACTGGGAGAGAGGGAAACGAGGTGCATGCTGGGAGTTGTAGTGCAGCTAGGAAAGGTTGCTGCAGGAAGTTAAGGATCAAGTGTGTTTAGAAAATGGACATGCACACTGGGACCTGTGGTCTGAGCTGACTGAGAGGGTCTGACCTGGTGGTCCGGGTGTCCCGCAGGGCTGTGGTGATGTATTCCGACATGCGCTTCTCCATCAGTGCTACTCGGATCCACGCCCGGCCCTGGAAAGCATGCTCACCTTTACTGAAGGGACTCGTGTGTGCGCCATTGGTCTGGACCTGTGGCTGTTCTCCCGTCATCATGGCAGAGGTGAGGACCAAGGAGCAGGCAGTTCCCCGACACCCAGAGCCGAGAGAAGCTGCCCGGGTCCTGCCCATTGCAAGCCGCTCACCTTGGCTCGGGCTGTGCTGATGTTCTCCATGTTCTCGATGCTGCTCACACAGTTGTTGGGCACTTTGTTGCAGGCCAGCCGGATATAGTCCCAGAAGCCCCGCTGCCCATCTGAGCTGAACCAGCTCACTGGACCTGCTGGGGCACAGGCTGAGCCAGGGCAGGGAGGGGGCTCAGCGAGACAAGGGAGTTTAGAGAGGACCCATGTAATGGGTCACACACATGCATAAGTGTAAGCCACGCACATACATAGTGCCTGCCCCAAACATGTGTGCGCACACCTGCATGTACACAAAGGGCACATGCCTATAACTGCATGTCCAGAAGACCCCTTCCCCTCTTCCTAACTCTGCACGAGTTTCTGTACATAGACCAGAACTGGGACCAGGGTCAGTGATGGGGTTCAGAAAGCCACAGAGTAGATCCGAGTGGAGTGGCTGGGAGCTAAAGGATGGGGGTTGGGAGGGCTGGGCAATAAGGACAGGAACCTGGGCCCACCTTTGAAGCGGTGGCTGAGGATCTGCTCTAAGATGGCTGCAAAATTCACAAACTCCTCGGACGAGTCATCGATGGGCTCTGCTGTGTACTTCTCCAGCAGCGTTTTCACAGAGAACCTGGGTGGGGGGTAGGGAGAAGGGGCCGGGGGTATCGGGTGAGAAGACAGGGTGATGGTGGCGGGGGAGGGGCATCAGGCAAAGAGAGGGACAAAGGGCAGAGGAGAGGTCACGAAGAGCATGGATGTAGCGGGTGGCAGAGGGAAGGAGGGTGGGAGACAGGCGAGAATAGAGCGACCATAGAGGTGCTGTGACATGGGCGTGCTAGGGCAGCAGGTGGGAGACTGATTGACAAAGTGGGTGACAGGAAGGGTGACAGCCAGAGAAAGGAAGCTTTGGGAACAAGGTATGAGAGGGGGTGAAACAATAGGTAGCAAGTCCAGGCGCCCAGAGCGGAGGCTTCCCAGAGCCCCTCCTTGCCCACCCTTTGGAGTTGCATTCCCAAGTCCGTGTTGGGGGTCAGGTAGGAGTTAGAAGCTGGTTTGTACCCCTGCACTGAGCTGCCTTCTGCTTTTGCTGGAATAACCTTCAGTACCTTCTGGAGTGGGGGGGTCACCTGTGCCAGGGCTGTGAGTTGGCACTGAAAACAGGGGGTGTGGGTATGCATGGTGACCAGGTGGGCTCTCAGCACACCAAGCCCCCCCTCCCCCCGCCCCGTCCCCTTTCCTTCCCAGCTTAGCCGCCCACACACCAGCTGCCCAGAACCAGGAGGTGTAGAGCTGGGCTGGGGGAGGTGCAGAGTGTGGGCCTGACAGACAGGCTGGGTGGGAGGGAGCAGTGGCTGCAGATCTGTGGAAGGGGCCTTGGGGGTCAGAGAAGGAGGGAGTCAGCCCAGCAGCACCATCCCCCTCTGCAGTCCTGCTTAAAGCCTCAGCTCCCTCTGCAGTCCCTACTCCTAACCCCTGCATCTCCACCTGCCATGCTGCAATGTGTGGGGCAGGGCTGAGGGCAAGGGTCCCAACATCCCATATTGCCCTGTTGTGGGGGGCAGAGCAGATACAGGGGCTGCTGGAAACTGCCCTCCCCCCCTAAGCTTATCATGCCCTGTAATTGGCCAAGCACTGTACTTTGCAGTATCATCTCATCCATCCCTACACCAGTCCTGGGAAGTAGTTCCTCTTATCACCAACCTCATCCCCAGTTCACATAGGACAGTGATGGCGAACCTATGACACGTGTGTCAGAGGTGACACGCGAACTCATTTTTTTGGTTGATTTTTCTTTGTTAAATGGCATTTAAATATATAAAATAAATATCAAAAATATAAGTCTTTGTTTTACTATGGTTGCAAATATCAAAAAATTTCTATATGTGACACGGCACCAGAGTTAAGTTAGGGTTTTTCAAAGTGCTGACACGCCGAGCTCAAAAGGTTCGCCATCACCGACATAGAAGGTAACTGAGGGTCCAAGTGGTCGACGGATCTGTTCAGAGTCACATCACACAGCTTCTGAGGACTCAAGTAAGTATGTCTGATTCCAAAGCCCTTGCTCTCTCTGCTATATCGCGGTCCTCTGGTGGCTGTCAAGTTCCCAAGGACCTGAGCAGCCACTGCCTGCTCTGCCCTCTGTCCTCCACTCTGTGCTCCAGCCCTCGGGCACTGGCCTCCTTGGCTCTCAGGCCAATGGCACAGCTGGGTCCACGGACCTTCCTTACTTCCCTTTGGACTTAGAGCTGGTCTGGCTTGAGCTCAGAGCCAGGTCTGTTTTGGGGTTGCACTAGGGGAAGGCAGCCTGCTGGACTCCAATCCTGTTTCCTGGTGATACCCACGTGGCTTTGGACAAGTCATTTCCTCTCGTAGAGGCCCATTGTCTAGGTGCAAACAGGAACAGTATGACCTGCCTCATTAAATGTTGGTTCAGATCCCAGACAGGACCAGAAGAAGGTGAGTGTGTGTAATCCTGAGGTGCGGAGAGGCTGGGCCTGCCAGAAGGAGCCTGTGTTTAGGGTATTATCTGGGATTCATTATGCAGCCCCCACACCCTGATGATTTCTGATCATCTGGGTCAGACCACAGTGGGGGCCTGGGGCTGGTTTCAGCATCGCAGTATCTGCCCTCAGGGGTGCTGCAGAGATGGTCGTCGCCCCCGGGAGCTCCATGGTGTGCTCCCTGTTAGGAGGTGCAGTGGCTGCTGCAAGTTGCCATGGAGACAGGGAGGCCAGGGCCCAGGGGAGACCTCAGCTTGCTAAAGGGACCTGTTCTGGGAGCTGGAGGCAAACCATGTGACAGTGATGAGGCAGCCGAGGCCCGAGGGGTTTCTTAGCCTTTGTCATGCCCCTGATTCTCCCCAAACTCTCTCTCTCACACCAGCAGCTCTCAGCCCATTTTCAACCCACCAGAACCTCTGCTTCTGCAGCCTAGGCCAAGGGGAGTTCCCCCTCCCCCACACACTCAAGAGGCCCAGCTGTCCTGGCTGGCAAGAGAAAGAAGAGGAGCCGAGGAGGTCAGGAGGGAGGAGAGGGACAGGAAGGGTGTCATCAGGACAGGGCTGCTGTGTGCCAGGCACTGGGGCTAGACTCCTACAGGGATTGTGTCATTCCATTCCTTGGCATGGCGGTTACATCTATAACGGGGGTGATGAGGCACCCAAGACCCGGAATGAGTAGAAGACTTCACCACAGTTGCACAGCTAATAACTGATGGAGCAAGAGCTTGAACCTAGGACCATCTGGCCCCAAAGGCAGAAATCCTGGTTTTACACCACACTGGCAGAAGTTGAGGTGTGAGGGCGGAGGCAGAGGTCTACACTTGACTCATCCCTTCTATAACACGTCAGGCATCTTCAGGAGGCCTGATGTGCACGGCACTGTGCCAGGCACGAGGGATCTAGTGGTGTGAGACAGGCGCCCTGTGGCTGGGTGTGTGCCCAGGAACCTGGAAGGAGCTATAGGACACAGTAGCCAGGGCATCAGGTGGGCACTGACTCCTGTGTACAGGCAGGTGGAGCTGGCAAGGGAAACCGCTGAGATGTGCACTGGAAGCTCCCTGCCCTCAGAGGAGGCCCGGGGGTGGGGGGAGCAGGGAGACTGCAGGTGACGGCAGCTGGCATGGGGATCCGAGAAGGAGAGATGAGTACAGTGAGGGCTGAGGCAGAGGCTGAGCTAATGGCCCTGCCTGGCTTCAGAGCAGCCCAGGGAGGGTGAGTCCCTGCAGGCTGCAGTGGGAGGCTCACTTCCTGGGCCCCCAGAAAGCAGGGGGATCTTCTCACCACTGCAACAGCCCACCCTCAGGGACCAGTGGGCCTGCCCTCCCAACCTCCTCGCCTTGAACCAAGGAGACCCAGGTTTCTGCGGCCAGGCCCTCAGTCCTTCCCAGAGCAAGGGCAGCACCCTCGCCCTTCACTGGATGAGTTCAGGGTCTTCGCCCACCGGCCCTGTTGACTCTGCCACAGGTCGGAGCTGCCCAGAGAAGGAGGACACCGTTTCTGCTTCAGGACTGAGCACTGGAAAACCTCCCAGAAAAGCCCGCTCCAGAGAGGCCAGGCTATTGGTGGGAATGGGGATGCCTGGAGGGCAGCGATCGCCTATCCTGCCGCCCTGTCCTCAGCAGGGGAGCCAACCACCACCCTCCCCCTCGCACCGTGTCACTTCCTGGTTCTCACAGGAAGCTGCAGCGCCAATTAAACACCCCCCACCCTCCAGGCCTCGGGCTGGGCAAGGCCTGGCTTGGCCTAGAAGGGTAGGAACCAGGCCTCCAAACCCCCTCCCACAGGATGGTGGACGCGCTCCTCTGAACCCTGTGCCACCTTCCTTGTCTCCGCGGCGGCCGTGCATCCTCCCGCAGGCAGCTCGCCCCGGTTTCCAGAGCTGGCCAACCCCGCTCCCCGCCCGCGCCACCCCGCCCGCCAGCAGAGCCCACCTGCACACGGTAATCAGGTTCCTACGCTCCACGGCCACGTTGCGGGAAGACGCCTTCTTGGAGGACAGCCCCAGAGCCATGGTGGTCAGGACAAAGCTCGCTTCCATCCAGATGTGCAGCCCCTGCTGCCGCTGCCAGCTGCCCCTTACCCCGCCCGGCACCCCGGCCTCCCCGCCGGATCACCGCTGGGCCTTCTGCCCATCGGGGCCCCTCGACCCCTCTACGGCCATCCCCCTGCTACTGCGCGGGTGCCGGCCCCTAGGCTCCCTCCCCAGGCGGCGATTGGGAGCAAAACAAGGCCGGGGAGGGAGCTCTCCGAGGTGCTGAGCCGGGGCCCGTCACCCCCTCCTCTAGCCGTCTGCCCCCCCGCCAGTGACGTCACGGCCCTTGGACTCCGCCCCCCGGCAGGCCAGGGACCAATCCGCAGAGGAAGCAGGATTTCGTGGGGGCGGGGAGAGGACCAGGACCTCCGGGAGGTCGGAGGGGGTCCCTGGAAGAGGCAGCGATTGGAAGGAGTAAGAGGGGGTATCTGGCCTGTCCCCCACCCCCATATCCAGAGCCCGGGACCCCTCGTCTTACGTCTCTGAGCTCCAGCTCCTCTACTCCCCAGTGTCTGACCTGTGGTCAGCGGTGTCTAGCTCAGATTTCACCCTGGGTAATGGAGGTCCTCACCTGCTGTACCCCCATCCCAGCACCTCCCTTCCCTTCAGTATCTTAACAAGACCTGGGCCAGGTCTGTGTGCAGAGAGCGCAGGTGGCCCTGCACCGCTGACTCAGGAGGCCAAGGAGCAGTCAGAGAGACTACGCATCTGTCTGAGTCCAGGCTCCACTTGGCTGCGCCAGCCCGCGGAGTCCACTGCTCCCGGGGCGGGGGATGGGAATGCACCATCAGCCGCAGGAGCCCAGAGCCGGGAACCGCTCAGGGCTGAGTGGAGAGCAGACTGACAGCTGGGGGCCTGGGGTTTGTGGGGATTCCCAGCAATCCAGCTGGTGCCCACAGTAGTCTCAAGGCAACTGGAGAGGTGCAGCCACGGCACTGCTTCCCCTCGCAGCCCTACCCCCTCGCACCACCCTAGGGGCATCTGGCTTTCGGTTAACCTCTTGGCTGCCAACATTGTTGCATGGTGCCACCAACCCTCTCTGCAACGCTGAGAAGGTCCCCGAAAAGCTGGTTGCATCTTTTTCAGGAAGGTGGGGGAGATGGAGGCACAGTCTGGCTTCCCGCTGCCCTTTACCTCCCAGTTGTTCTCTTACATCCCTCCTCCCACCTGCGTCATTCCCCACTCAACCTGTTCTTTTTCACCCACTGAATCTCCAGCTTCCACAGAAAGCCTTTCTGTGTTGGTTAAAGGGGTTCACCCAACTTCCCCATCTGGCCTCAGGAATGTCCATCCCAGGGTTCAGCTCATATGTGGGCACCAACTCTACCTAATTACTGGATTTATTCTACTCTGCTAGTTGGTGATCAACAGCTCCACATTGATTGAGATGTGCACCCATATCTGAGTATGACCAGCAAGCAGGCGTCCTCTGCCAGCGCCAACAGGAGGAGGAGATGAGAAGTTCCCCATGCTGCTCTGGCTCCCTTGGGGCTGGGGAGCAGGTCCTGACCACTGGCTCAGATCTGATGTTCACTCAGCCTCAGTTCTTGGCTTCTGGGACCTTAGACTAGGTCTTTTCTGTCCCTCTTTTGCCTCATCTCTAGAAGCTCTTCCCAGCATCCTCCTGCCTTCAGACTCATAGCCGTTGGTAATAATGATGTTCTTTTGTTTTTCAATTCAAGATATATATTATGCACAAAAGAGCATACAAAACACGAATGTGCAGTTTAAAGAATATTGACAGCCCTACCCGTTGTGGCTCAGCGGTTGAGCATAGGTCTATAAACCAGGAGGTCATGGTTCGAATCACGGCCAGGGCACATGCCCAGGTTGTGGGCTCCATCCCCAGTGTGGGGTGTGCAGGAGGCAGCCAATCAATGATCCTCTCTCATCATTGATCTTGCTCTCTGAAATCAATAAAAATATTAATAAAATAAAGTGGAGATGCAGTCTCTCCAGTAACAGTAGTCAGTCATCTCTGGGTGATGTTAATACCTCTCCTACTAGTAGTTCAGCCACATTTCCTCTAGAGGATTCTGTAAACATAAAGACTAAATTATAAAGTTTACTACCAACAAAAATCCTTACATAAAATAATAAGGGAAAAAAAGGATGGGGAAATTAATATATAGAGTATATGGTACAAAACAAGCAAGAAAGAAAATACACATAGCTTCTGCAATAATTATTTCTGAAACTTGTCAGAAGTTGATATTTATAACTTTCCTCTTCCATTACTCATTTTATTTTCACTTTGCCCTAAAAGGGCACTTCAGTTTGTTTTTTAATGAGGCCAGGTGACCAAACCTTCATTCTTCTTTTTTTTAGAGAGAGAGAGTAGAAAGGAAGGAGGGAGGGAGAGAGAAACATTGATGTGAGAGAGACACATCAATTGGTTACCTCCTGCATGTACCCTAACCAGGGTTGGGGATTGAACCTGCCACCCAGACATGTGCCCTTGATCAGGAACTGAACCCATGACCCTTTAGTGCGTGGGCCAATGCTCCAACCACTGACCCACACCAGCCAGGGCCAAACCTTCATTTTTGAAGACTCTAAATCAGGGGTCCTCAAACTTTTTAAACAGGTGGCCAGTTCACTGTCCCTCAGACCGTTGGAGGGCCGGACTATAGTTTTAAAAAAAAAAACTATGAACAAATTCCTATGCACACTGCACATATCTTATTTTGAAGTAAAAAAACAAAACGGGAACAAATACAATATTTGTATTTGCGTGTGGCCCGCGGGCCGTAGTTTGAGGACCCCTGCTCTAAATCCTCAGAATTGAATTGCTACCATTTTTCTTTAACCTTTACTATAGGACATGGAAGCAGGAAGAGGCACATTGGGGCATTCCACGGGTCCCAGACATAGTGCTCCCTGACTTCATTGTGTAGCACCCAGTTTGTCCTTGGTATTTGGGATCAGCCACCCCAGATGGTAACCTCCTTCCTTGTTGATAGCAGCAGAAGCTGCTATGGAACTGGGCTTCCTAGAGTCAGTGGGTATGACAGGAGCTCAGAATGAGGCCAGGTTACAGTACTTAGTCTTCAGAGTCAAGGCGGACATAATTACTGTAATGGGCACAAGGACCAAATGGCAAGCTGGGCTGCAGTGTGATGGCCAATAGACCATGGTCTTTCTAGGTAGGTGGACAGCCAATGATGGCGTTTCATGACTTACATAGCCAAAAGTGAGCAAGAAGGAGTTAGCAGGAGGCTGATGTCACCCACTGCAAAGGAAAATCATGATCCCTCCCCAATTTCCAGACTCAAAGCATTTTTGGCTGCAGAGCCCATTGATCGAAGGGGCGGCCAGTTTCCTTCAGGAAAAATCTTGCAATGCCACAGAAGCTTATATCATAACTAGAGGCCCGATGCACGAAATTCGTGCAAGGGGCTCCGGCTTCATCCGGAAGGTCATCCAGACGGTTGTTCTGCTGTTCAGTCTAATTAGCATATTAGCTCCTAATTATATAGGATAATTATCTCACTCTTCCCCCAAAGGTACTCATAGCCATTTATCTGAGCAACTGTACCCTGAGGAAAAGGGAATACTCAGATCTTTCAAGACTTTGGATACAGGGTCTGAGCTGACTCTGATACTAGGGGACCAAAATGCCATTGAGAACACATATGAGAGCCTGGACAGGTAGCTCAATTGATCAGTGTCTTCCCAATGCTCCACGGTACCAGGTTTGATCCTCAGGCAGGAGACCTACAAGAATCAACCAATGAATGCATAAGTATGTGAAACAACAAGTCGACATTTCTATCTATCTCTCAAATTAATTTTTTAAAAATTTTAAAAAGAACACATATTAGAATAGGACATACACAGGCCAGGCGATAAAAGGAGACCTGGTCAAGTTCATCCCACAGTGGGTGTAATAGGTCCACTTATTCACCTGGTGATTATTTCCCTGGTCCCCGAATCCATAACGGGAATAGAATATAGTACTTAACAGCTAGCAGAACTCTCACATTGGTTTCCTAAAATAAGAGCCGTTAGAGTAGGGAGTGAGAAGTGGAGATGGCCCCCTACCCTTGCCTAGATAGTACATCAGAAGGAATACCCCATGCGAGGTAGAATGATAGTGATTATAGACCACAAAGGATGCAGGAGTGGTGGTCCCTGTGATGTCTCCATTTAACTCATCAGTCTGGCCCTTGACAACAGCCAGATAATGGTGGACATGACAAAGCAGTAGCCCCAGGTGGCCCCGGTTTAACTGCTGTGCCAGATGATGCGACAGTTTTCCTAAAACAGATCCACGTACCCCTGACATTCAGGATGTGGCTATTCATTTGGTGAAGAAAAAAGAATCTTACAAAAGTACACTTCCACTTCCTCTCTCTGACTTTGAATACTGTTGTTGCATATACATTGCATTTTAGTTGGCATTTCCATGTTTGTTAATGAACTTGAGTATTCTTTTCACACGCTTATTAGTCATTTGGGTTTTCTCTACTCTGAAGTTCCCATTCAAAGCATTTTGCTCATTTTCTCTTGGACTGTTTTTCAGCTGCTTTGTGCCTTTTGTCACTTATATGTCCTACAAATAGCTCCGCACATTCTGTGACTTGCCATTTGGTTCTCTTTATTGTATCTTTTCATGAACAAAAATTCTTAATTTTAATATAATGAAATGTATCATTTTTAACAATAGATGCTTGTTGTCTCCTATTTAGTAAGAAATCTTTTCTAACTTGAGGTTATGGTGTATTTTTTTATGTTACCATACAAGAGTTTTATACTGTTATTTTACTTTAAAGCCTATAATTCACTTGAACTAAATTTTGTGTATGGCATAGGATGGGTGTCCAAGTTCATTTTGATCCAACACCATTTGTTTGTTTGTTTAAGGGCCTCTTCCCACCTCTTTGACCTGCCATCTCTCTCACATCAAGTACCCATACAAGTGCGGGTCTGTTTCTCAGCTCTATATTTTGCTCCAGTGTCTCTTGGTTTTAATGTCTAAATCATTAAAACTTTATAATGTCTTGGTGACCGGTAAGGCAAGTCCTCCCATCTTATCTTCTTCACGAGTGGCTTGTTTTCTTCTTGGCCCCCTGCATTTCTATAATA